CCGTGCACTCGCGTGTTGAAATCCTTTTAGCACAAAGATTTACGTCCATCTGGGCCGTCGAGGACTGCACAAACAAGTTGAGAAGGACTACGTGATCAACCTGATCTTGAAGCTATAAGAGGCACAAAAATTGTGCAGTTCCTACACGCATTCCGTTCTTTTGCAGGACAATGTAGAACAGTTGGACTTGACGAATCTCGTTACAGCCGGGGACCAAGCGACTGTCGCACTGATTGTGATCTGCGTTGCGTTGTCGTCAGGTCAATCAGAATCCAGATGAGATTATTGCCAACAGCCAATCAGGTTACAGCTTAACGCTGCTTTTTGCAAACTCTAATGGCAAGCACGACGAGAGGAACTACTCACTAAAACAATGCACCGGGGATGTCTCCTTGAATGGTGACGAAACGTCCGCATGTCGTTTGTCAAGCGTCTGATCAACTGCCAATGAATTGGCCCGAGATACCAATATTCCACGATATTACCAAACGTAGATATCGCAACTAACGACAATGGGTGGTGGGGAAAGCGAAAAGAACTAATACGTAAAAGAGCAACGAAGTATCATCAACGACCTGTTTTCATTCACTCGTCCTGCTGTCTGCAGCGAGTCAGGCGATTCGTCTGAGAGCATCCCATCACGGTCGTTGTGGCATATAAGGTCATTTGTAATTGTGGGGTTCCTCGTTGTGTATTTGGCCCAGACTACTGTTGACAGCAGGAGAGCGGCCTATAACCAGAACGTTTGGCCGAAGAGCCTAACCGCTAAGCATAAGATCTCCGGAACTCATTACATTTGCACGGAACAAGCTGTCACTGACAACCCAGAGGACCAGCATCATTAGAGAGGTTTTCCAATCCACTTCAGTTGCTCTGTACCAAATTGCTCGATTACATAACTGACGCTCTCTGATGCCTGCTGAAGTAGGGATGTAGGTCCGATAGAACAAATGATTTTATGAGGTCTTGGTATGACTGACGCCTCGGCTTTTAAAACATTCAGTCTGACGTTTGATCGACTGTAATCTGGCTCATGGGCAAGACGGACCAAGTGGTTATTGCAGGAATTTACTGACTGGAAGGTCCGTGGTTCGAACCCGACCTCTGCCTCTCGACTTCCCCTGTCTAGACTTGGGCAACCTGTCAGTATCCTAGCCCTCGTGCCTCCTTCGTGTGGCACGGCAGCTAGGCACCGAAAGGGTGATACAGCTGAACGAACGTGTGCAAGAAAGAAAATGCTGACTTTCTCGGCATCTAATCACAAAAACAAGAACAAGCGCCACTGATGAATGAGCATCAATCAACCTCAGATCGAGGCTAGGCACCAAAGGGTGATACAGCTGAACGAACGTGTGCAAGAAAGAAAATGCTGACTTTCTCGGCATCTAATCACAAAAACAAGAACAAGCGCCACTGATGAATGAGCATCAATCAACCTCAGATCGAGTCAAACAGTCGACACAATATACCAATCAGTAGTACAATGAGACTACGAGATGATTCGATACTAACTCTATGGAGTAAAGTACAAGTGAAACTTTGTCAGTCAGGAATTTTTACAGCTTCGGGCGCTGCCTTCCCTATTGGAGCCTAGGTGGACCGGCTTGGTCCTTTGGTTCGGGCAAAGCACTCTGTCTACTCATCCAGGCGATCCTCTGGCTAGGTCAATACTCGGTTGAACCAAGAACCACACGACAGATATGAAAGTAAGGTGACCCATTGTTCGTTCGCCGAGGCGTTCGCTGACTGAATGAAGAGTCGACAAGTCGCGAGGGTAGGCCAATTGGTTGACGTTCTGAAGCCATTTGAACAGTCGAAGCTGGAGACGTACTGACAGTTTCCAGATATTTTTTGGCTCTCCTTTCAAGTTTCGAAGCTGATTTGTTTTTCGAAACTTGCCTCTCATTGTTCACACACACCTGAACGCGCGATAGTTTCAAAGTCCAACAGTTTTTTTGCTAAGTGAGCATTTTGCATGCTGCCAGACGGATTTTGGAACAGGGTGTGCGGTAAATGGCAGATAGTACACGCTCACAACGCTGCACCAACACGAGAATTTGCGCCTTTTAACAACACACTAGACTTTTGCCGCACGATTCCAGACCACACTGACTAGCTTGGCCTTAGTTCAAATGATTTCTGTATTCACGTGACCTTCCGAATCGTCGCACGAAAAGCGATAATTTCTATTCTCTTGCACACCGTGCCCCTCACTCTGTGCGTGTGGTTGGAACGTTCTCGACCTTGGTATGTGCACTGTCCGGTATGACCAAACTGGAACGACCCCGGTGTGCGAACAAGAAGTGAACCGTTCTGTGGACGCACAATGAGGGTGTGTGATTGATTCTGTCGCTGTTATTGTCTCTCACGTCGCCATTGATTGTGACCAGACTTTGATCACATCGGCATCCGGTCGGTATTGTGAAAGTTAATAGCTGGAAAAAGCGATTGGTTACCTAGACTACCACGCGTGAGAGGAAGAAGGCTCTCGATGCGGAGTTATTTATTAGGAAATGCCAACTGACCGGTTACAGACCATTGGACAGGGAAGCAAAACTCATTGGCATCTTATTTGGAAAAACTGGACATCTATCTTCTCCTGAACGCGTCTTCTTGAACTTTCCTGGATATTCATTGATTCCAATAATTTATTGCTCAAATCCAAGCAAATGTTACAAAGCGACTCCACAAATTCCGCAACAGATCTCCCCTTTTCAAGAGACGCAAAGCGAAATTCCAAGAACAACACATACTACTCGCATGCCTCACCATCAGTAGTATCACCAGTACATGCGTATATAAAAGATAATCGTTCAGCTGTAACATCCGTTCGGTGCCTAGCTGCCATGCCACCCGAAGGAAGCATGAGGTTTGGGATACTGCAAGGTTACCAATACCAGGACAGGAGAAGTCGACAGGCCGAGGTCGGGTGAGAAGCATGAAACTTCTGTTCAGTAGCTTCGCTTTCTAACCACCACTTAAGCCATCTTACCCCTTGTTTTCGAACCACTGGATTCACACCCTGTCACTCTTAGGTATGTTCAAGTCAAAATGCCACAGCCTTCGGGATTCAGATGTATTGGACACCAACAGTAAGTCGGTGATGGTTAGATTTTTTTTAGCAAAGACACATCTGATCACCGGGAATATTTCCCCTGCCCATGGAACGCCATATAGGGGAAAGGTAGCTCCCTTGATAGGGAGACCCCCCTTCACTGTAAATGTGTAAAGTGTACGCGCACCAAGTAAACATTGAAATTCACAGTTATTTTTCAAAGAAGTCCAAGAATCATGAGAAGACGCAAATATCACGTGTGTGTTGGGGAGTCCTAGAGAAAAGAAAGAAGCGGCAAGACGGGTGGGGTTGCACTGGAAAACCAGAGGCAACTAGGAAGGTTAGTGGGTGCGGGGGACATAGTTGTAACAAGTTTGGAAGAAATTTCCCTGGGATGGTTAATGCCAAACACAGGGTTGTTACAACTCGACGATGAGAGGCTGTCACCGGAGGAACAGCTGATATCGAGGCGAACGCTCCTTTCAAAGGTGTCATCCTCGGGTAGGACGACTATGGGATTTCAAAGGGAGATTTCGTCCCGTGAACGAAGTTAACTTGTACTGAAAAACCGACAAGCAGCTGTTCTTATTGGGAATTATCAGCGGTGGGCATCTCGCGAGACTCCGTTCGACCAAGAGCGGTCGATCAGCAATGTGATTGATTCAAATTTAAACCGTTTCTCAGATGGGACGTGTAGTCGTCTTGTGAATTTTGGTTGCCTCTGCACTACTTATAATGTAAGATTTGGGGTTCGGAAGTGCGACCCAACTTCTCGGACATGACTGGACCAGTATTGATTGTTTTTGCTGTCTTGGCTGTTGTAAAGTGGAAGAAGATTGGCTGCGCACGAGGGAAATGTGAAACGATTCGGATGGGTTGCACTGCTTGCATCAATCTGATCTTGAAGAGGAACAGAGCGGGATGGGACCTGGTGTAGTGCATGGTAACACGACGAACAGATATGTGAACGGTGTGGGAACCCACGGGAAAACGGTCGCCCAATTCATTCCATAACCGGGTTAGTGCGAACCGATGGTGCCAAAAGTCTTTCAATGTCTGACTGGTGGGTGCCTCTGAGGCTTCGCACATCTACGTCCGATTCGTAGTGCTCAGTTCCGTTGAATGATTTTATAAGGACAACACCATACCGCTTCGTAGATTTGTAAATCTCAACTACCAGATGATCGGCCTCCTCGCAAAGCCCTTGCCAACCAGCTATGCACAGCGTGGAAAAGGGTTAGGTTACTACGTGCTAACAAAATGTGTATCCCCTTTTAATTGTGAATCCATCATACTTTTGTTCGGCAGCTCGTGGCCGAACGGCTGTGCTCAGGCTACCGTCGGTGACGGATAAAGAGAACTTGTCATCTCTTATTGACCCCAAGCGTTTCCATTCTCCCTTTTTGCTCGCAACCAGTATCCACTCCTGTTGTTTGGACAGTCCTCTAGCTCCCAATTTCAAACACGACATGCGGATACTACTCATGAGTACCTATCGCTCATGATTCCTGCTAATGTAGGGATCATCGCTCGTTTGGCTTTCATCCATTTTTCCCTTTGTTTCATCAATCGCGGTCCACTGTCTTCGACCTTTCATCTTTCCACATTTTTCCGAGCGAGTGACTAAGTATTACCTGATGACAGCTTCGGAGGTACCGAAATATTTACTCTGTAGATGTGTTTCTTCCTGGGAGGAACTTTAATGGCAATTATCTCGGTTACTTCGTTCACCGGAGCAATTGGGTTATCTGGTTATATTAGTCCGCTTTTGTGAGCAGGCGATGGAACAATTTGCCGCGTCGAATGTCCAAGGTACTGGTGAGTATTTCTGAATAACGTTTGTCCTCTGTAAATCCTGTCTTGTTTACAACACTACTCACACCTTATCATAATTTGGTTCTGTCCTTAGTTCGTCCTGATTCTCTCTCGCTCTCTCTCTCTCCAGTTCATGGTCAGCAACTCCAAACAGCACAATCCAACCAAACCTCGGATCCAGTTCGTCCCCGGATTAAGTCTACAATTCGAAATTTCCATGGTCTCTTTGAAAACAAACCTATCTAACGGTCGTTTCGGTCTTCGTCTTGGCTTGGTGTCACAAGATCCGGTAACGGAACAAGATGATTTTCTCTACTCCTCAACGTCCAGCATCAACGACGAAGTCACTCCTGGTATATTCGAGGTAACTAAAGTCCGTGATCTGTCCCCCATGACATATTTTATCCTCTGGTCTTAAGTGTACATAGATATTCCGAGTTTTGCACGTGTTACCGAGTGATTTTAAGCCTAGAAGATTGCCCGCCACGAGTGGATGCGTAAGGGAGTTCCTGATAGTGAATCGTCCAATGGCAAGAAGCCCTTGAAGGAAAGGCCATGAAATAGCCGCGTAAGGTGTAACCGGCCGTAGACAAACTGTGCGCTGTGTGATATTCGCGTCTTCTTGATTGATGTTCACGTTATTCTCCTCGATTTCGCTGATGGCGACACAATGCTCAGACGTGTTTATTTCATTGCTGTTCAGATACACAAATGCTTTGTTTTTCGACCACTTTCCTCGAGAATACGGAAGCTTTTCACACCACGATCTCACCCCTCTCCTTTTATTCCACTCCTTACTAGAGCGTTATTTCCTCATTGGTTTAGAAACGCCACCATTCGGTACTTGTATTGCTGATGTTGACACCTGGTCCGAGGCGAATTCATGATCATCATCGGTGTCGTGTCTCAAAGGGTAAAATCCTCACAGCTGACTCTAATCGGGTAAGATCGATTATCAGACGGGTCCAATTTCAACAGCTCGATGTGGGGAAGCTTCGGATATTCTTGCCTCAACACATCAGTCCACTTGATATGTGTCAACGCTGACCAGTCATCTCTCCCGTAGTTTCACGTGCAGGCGCTCTGCTCGGAGGTGCATGCATCCGGACGCCTTGTTTGATTAGTTTCTTGAATGCACGTCGTGAACACTTCAATAGACCGGAACAAAAGTGTTTCGTTCACCGACACAATACCCTTTTGTGTTTCAGACCGTCAACTTGCTGCTGAACAAACGTGTCAACGCGGTCAACTCGTCCTTGGATCCGGCCCACACTCCATCTTGGCCCGCCGGATTTGTGCAATCCCGGCCAGTGTGCTACATATCCGACGATAGTCGTGAGGTGAAAACCAGTCGTAACGCACTGCTGGCGAAGAATCGTGACGCAGTGCCGAATTTGGATGAGCGCAAGTCCATTCTCAGCCTCACACTTCCGTACATTTTCTATGGATCGCGCATATCACCATCTATTCCCGCCGACGGCGAATCATCGGTGAACGCCACTGCCGTGGGCCTCCGCATCCAAAATGTTTCGCTGGGCACGCCAGGAGACGGGTACTACGCAGCGTCTGAGTTCATTGTCTGGTGAGTCACGTGGACTGATCGGCCGATGAAGTGTATAGTGTAGAGACGTAGTGTTGAGACGCTTTGTATGATATCCATCTAGGACCAAGTCCCAGTTTTTTTTCGGTTGCCAGCTTCAATGTTGTTCCAAACCGCTTTCTTCGTTTCACCTACCTGTCTACCGGTCCCACAGAACCGACAGTTTTGATTGTCGAACTCCACGACCTTTGTTCTAGCATTTAGTAGGTCAATATTACTATCAAGTTACGCTCATCGACTTGTGAAACGTAGTGGTTTCTTTTACTCAACGCCCAAGTCAAACAGGTTTTTTTCTATTGGCGAACTATCTAGTGTTATTTGGGGCCAGTCTTCTGTGACTTCATTCTCAATCGTAACAGGGCCTTAGCACTTGTAACCAGGGCTCTGGCGACCAAAGTTTCCCCCATCTCTTCGAACTGCGCGAGAAAAGACCTATAATGGTGTGAAAGCGAAACTCACAGCTGCTCCCAGGGACCGAAGGATTCCGGGTGTCACTGTATCATTCCACTTTCCGAATGCACAGCCTTCGAACGTGCCCAAGATCCGACCATGAGGGGAACAATTTAACCACACAAACAGTTTTCAAACAAGCAATGTCCCGGGGATTATTCACCCCTTCCACTCCAGCGTGATTGACATTCATTACTCCGAAAATTCCCGCTTAGGACATATTTTCAAAGAATACTGTTGTTCACGCAAGATCCAATCGGGAGCGAGGGTTTGCCGAGGCATGGTATTCCCCACAAAAATCGATCAATTAACACATCGACTCACTCTAGCAGCCGTTACTGGCAAAAGAACTACATAGCAACGTGGGAAATCAAGCGACCTGAGGAAATTCAACAGACCAATTGGATCAAGGAAAGGAAACCATCAAAAATAGAATGCTACGGTATCAACCAATCAAGAGGAACAACTTCGAAACGCCCAATCACAACAGAGGAACGGAGCTGTGAAATTGAAGGCGCCCAATGAAGCAACAATGAATTGAGACCATGACGCAGTTCTGATCTCTAGGTGACTAACCAGATCATACCACCTCTGGACCAATCAATCGCTTTAGAGCTATCAGCTGCTCTTTAGGAACTATATAAAAACAGGCAGAAGAGGAGGAATTTACCTACTCAACTCTGTCACTGTCGACGTCACCTTGATTGGTGATGAAACGTTCGCGATGTAGCTGCCAATCTCGGCGAACGTCAATTAACTGTCTCTGATGCAACTCTGTCACTGGCGACGTCACCTTGATTGGTGATGAAACGTTCGCGATGTAGCTGCCAATCTCGGCGAACGTCAATTAACTGTCTCTGATGGTGTACATGAAACGGGAAGTCGAGTGAGAGACGGCATTGGCTACCTGTCAAGGAAACAACAGTTCAAGTCACCAGTAGGACGACCTGAGTCTGTCAGTGCGGCGGGCAGTGCTGTGGTTGTGTGTTCAGCACAGGATGTATGCGTGGAGCGAGGTGAATTGGATCGTGGCAAGTAGAACACGCGGACAAAGGATCCAGTCGCGATGTCGATAACTTCAGCCACTGCGATTGTGCGGCACTGTACCATCTTGTAAACAGCCAACCTTAGCTTAGTATCACGCTGTGCACCGGGATGTCGCACGACCGAGCTGGTTATCGTTCTTCTGATTCCAGAAGCCATTCAGGGTGGGCTGTGGTCTTTCTTCCTTTGCCTAGTCGTGCGTTCAATGTATCCAGCTGTACAACAGCGGGAGAATGAGCATACTAACGCATTTCGGGCGTACTCTACCTTTGATGTTAAAGGAGTACAGACGATTGCTTGTGAACCAGGTCGGGATTGTTGCGTCCGGGAGAACTTTGTTCAAACTGGTGTAGGTTGGCCCCTATGTCGCCCTTAAGCATGAGGCTAATGTAAGTGGGTTTTCCTCCAACTGTAGCGGTAACAGTGTTGATTTTTACTCTGTTCAGATTCCTTGTAATGAAGCGCCTTGTCGGGAAACTCGCTGCCTCTCAGAAAAATGGTAAAAATTAAGATTTCTTATTCCAGCGCACCGTCAGTGCCTTTTTTTCGTATTTTCTTGTGACGCAGTTAGGCAGGAACTTACGACTTCTCAGCAAAATCTATTAAATCGATGTCGAAGTATTTTCAGATACTACTGATGAGGCGTGCGAGTAGCATATAGTTTTCTTCACACTCCCCGTCGCGTCTAATGGAAGGTAAGATTTTTCTTACTGGACTTGTGGAACTTCTTTGAGTGATAGTCAATGAATATCCAGGAAAATTCCAGGAGAAGCGTGTGAATGTTCAGCTTTTTGAGAACCATATGCATATGGGACGTTTACTTTGGTGTCTAGAAGTTTGTAACTGCTTAGTCGGTGTTTACTAATAAACGACTTCGCGGCGAGGCGCTTTCCTCCCACATTTTTGGTCCTGGTTGCCCGGTTCCCACATGCCCAATTGCGGCCTCGAACTTCTTGGTGCTTTCCCGTGTTGCACGGACAACAGTTTCCTGTTTTATTGACATCAGTCACAGGGTCCCGCTGACCGAAAAGATAAGTTAAGTGCAACCCGGAAGTCGATTTCATCGCGTGATCTATGCTCGGTGGAAAATTGCATTTCCTACGAAATCAATGACATTAAAATCAGTTTCTATTTCTTACAAAGTCGGCCTGATACTCCTGGATGGAGCCGAAGAACCATATCACAGTGTCGGTCAGTTACCACTCACTTAGTCATTAGGAGCTTGTTTAGCATCCAGTCTTGAGCAGTCATCTCCCAGGGGTGTGATACTTCGGTATCCAAACGTAAATGTTTTCTATTAATCCAGGAAACTAGCTTTCAGAAATATCTAGTTCGGAATGAAACACCTTTTTGGTCCATACGAAAGAGCCGCTCTTTCTGCTGCCTTTACAACAGTACTCTATTTCCTTCATTCCTTCCCCCAGGACCGCATCATTCGGCCTCGGAGAGCCCCCGGTAGATCCGCTTTCCCCGCTTCTGATTGGCCTTCTCGTGCTGTCCACAGTGGTGATTATTGGCTCCCTACTTTTCGGGACGCTAATTATCTTGGTGTTGCGTCATCGCAATCGACCCGGTCGATTCGAGTTGCTGTCCGAAAGTGAATCGGTTGAACCCGTGTCCACGTGATTATCACTCACTCACTCACCCAACTACACAGCATACCGTCTTTCCTCGATGGCTGTCGGTTCTAGATGAACGCACTGATTTTCTGGTCACTGATCTCTTTGCTTTATGGTGTTGTGTCTTTTTTAAGCGTCTTTTACTTGTGTGATTCCCAAATGTTCCAAAGTAAGCGGCCGCTTTGTCTTTTATTTTTAGCGTTCTCTGCGTAAGAAAACTGAAATTCTGTGTAACCTTTTAGTCTTTTCATTTTTACGGTCGGGCAACTCTCCTACAGTTCCACTGAAGAGGAGAGGCTGCGAAAACACCGCTGCGTTTGGGGCTGCGGAACCCCTCGATTCTCACTTGACGTATCTCACGCCAGAATGCCAGGTTCCAGTTGACTGCATTATGCGTCTCAAACAAGTGCAATCAAACGCCGGGGTACATATGGAGGTGGGTCGCACATTCGTACAGCATCCTAAGATCACGTCCGGTCGTGCACCCAGGTTGATCTTTTCGCACAAGGTCGACAAGGACCTTGCGAGCACAACAGATTACGTCCGACATTTGATTCGGTCGATCCATACGATTGCACGATTTCTCGTCTTAAAACACCCGACTGCTTGATCCGGTTTCAGACAAAATCATTACAAAACGCCAAACTTAATAGGTAAAGTTCAGTGAACCTCACTATCAAGCGTGCAGGTGTATTACTTGTCCACCGGGACACTGTACGCATTGGATTTAGAGATCGGTTCCTGGTATGGACGTACTGCACTACTCACAAAGTTACTGAAAACTCGTCGACCGTAAGAAAGAATCCAGGTGAGTCTGCATCAAAACTAAATTGGAGTGTGTTGTAACGTGGGTGGCCGTCTATTAGTTACCCCTGCACTGAGCCTGCCAGACTACGCCATAAGGGGAAGACAGAGAACTCGAAACACGGCTGTATTGTCAGGACAAGACATACAGAGATTCTGCGTAAATATATACGATGACTACAGTGCCAAATATGGTCGTTCACTTGTTCGTTCTGTACAGCGAATGGTGATGTTCCGGTCGCGAACAATTTCAGCCCACCCCATTGGTCTCCGCCAACGCACCTGCTTTCCGAGCGTGTCGTACTGATGGTGACCTTGGAAATGCGTCACTGTTTGCACATGTACTTTTTCCATGTCTGGGCGCGTCCTTGCAGTATGCAGCTGAGTTTATAAGTCGGTTCTAAGTACTTTTCTTAACTGTGCGTGTTAGCGATAACCAAGGATATGAGAAGAGCCTAAATAAATGCGCTCAGCCCATTTTCCGTTGGTCGGGTGATCCGTGAACGTAGATATCTTGTTAGACAATGTGAATTTCCACACCAAATTTGCTTGTTATCCCGTCCTTAGCTGGCTTCTAATTGGTAAAGCGCACTACGTAGTAGACAGATCTCGATCGCATCACAGTGGGGATGACCGTTTGGCCTTGGGCAACCTGGAAGTATCCCAGGCCTCGTGATTCCTTTGGACGGCATGGCAGCTTTGCACAGCCAGCTACCGAACTTCACGCGTCCAGAGTGGTGCAAACTGTAAGGTGTACAACGTATGAATTGGCAGAAGGGTTTGGTGCGATCCCCCTCTTAGGATGGGGTCTCCGTGACCCCTTTGTGCCCCTGGGTGTATATACTGCAAGAAACGGTGGCTAATCGATGTCAGTGGCGTTTACGCTGTCAGCTTCTCTCTCGATTGTCTGGTTGGGTGTCCGGAAATGAAGGTACCACTATTTTTGAGGGGGGAATGGACTGGAGAACAGTTATCTCTCCTTTTCCCCACCCTTGTTTTTCTCCCGATATCACCATCCTACGTCTGCTTTTCCACTGTGATCGATCTGCAAATTTTAATGACTGAGGAGAGATCGAAGAAGGAGCAGTTTACAACGTGCTTTCCAGCGTAAAAGCGTAGGAACAGATGTCATCAATAATTGGTCACGACTATCTGATCAACACTATCCGATGGACTCTGCGAAAACATCACGGCGTCTCTCTGCTGATGGATGCTGGTCAACCACATGGAGCGTTTTTTTTTCAATAGAAACTGAAGCCTGTCGACTGTTCTGACCATGCTGAGCAGAGACCGGCGGCCTATAGCTCCTGACGTAGGGTAGGTACGCGTCCATTCCCGCTGCCAACCATTTCTCGGACCATGCCACCAACTGCCACCCAGGTGTAATCACTATGTCTCTGGGTCGAATTCCTCTGATCCTGAAATGAACACAGCTTTCTACAAGTGATTTGCTTGTGCTGGTAAAGTACCGTCGTTTCGTCAGAATGGAGTGCTTAGCTGGCTGGCCAACGGGAAATTTAGACTGGATCGCCGAGTCCGTCCCAGCCTCTCCACCGACTGAAACAAGATTTCGTCATTTTTCCTGAAACGTACAGTTGCTGTGGAGAATTTTACTCGGTCCCTAACATATAAGATGGACAATAGATGGCTATCCGATGTGAGTGACACTTTCTTCCAAGATGTCGTTTCTCGTGGAATTGTTGGCTGAATGTTCCTTAATAAAGCGTTGGTGCACAGTCCCATCCTGTCGACGACCCTGGAAGGTGACGCGGTAAGTAATATGTTCGCATCTCGCTTTGGTGGCTGATCAGTTGGGCGAGCTTGGTGATTAGGTTCCAAACGTTTCGTCACCGATCGAGGTGGTTACATCGTCATCAAATGCCCAGTGACCATGTCACGTGGATCGGTAACGAGACGTTCACTAGCGAATAGTCATGTTCCGCGAACAGCTCAACGACCGCATGTGATCAGACACCAATGAACGCGCCCGAGCTACAAATATTCCCGTAATACTTCCAAAATGCTGCTCTGTATAAGGAGCAGTTTCTATCGTTTGCTCATTTTCACATGCAACCCCGCATTGTGTGGCTGTCTAGTGTCACGAGTAAAAGTAAAATGACTGAATATTTGACACTTTTTACTTGCTAGCCCCTCGGAATCATGTGCGCTCAAGGTCACTGCAACTGCTGGCCCACCGAGGATATCCGATGATACCCGCTATGGTGATCAGAGTAACATCGATACGACGGGCCCAGCGGGCTACACTCACCGAAATGGATGCTTGCAAAAAAGACAGCCTTCGGATCCTAGCTCATCCATTAGACGCTTTTGCGGAAACCCACAGATGCCGTGAGACGAAGATGCCGGTACATAAGGAGTAAACTAGCAACTGCTGTCACTGATTTCTAGTCTGACGGACGAATAAACTCGTCGCGTTCTCGACTACTCATAAAGAGCCAGTAGGTATTCCTAATAGTCCACTTTCCTGTGTATGCTCTTTAGGCCACACGACATTCAAGCTAGATCAATGTTTTGCGCGAAAACTCATGTTAAACGATATTAGGCGAAATGGACCAAGTGGTTAGAGCGCGAATTTACTGACCGGAAGGTCCGTAGTTCGAACCCGACCTCCGCCAATCGACCTCCCTTGTCTAGGCTAGGGCAACCTGGTGGTATCCCAGCCCCCTCGCCTCCTTCGTGTGGCATGGCAGCTATGCACAGAAAGGGTGTTACAGCTGCGCGATATATATATATACCTCGATGTGGTCATGTGCGTTGGTTTGTGCGACCACCAATCGTGAGATACCGTTTTCGAATTGAAGAGAAATAGGAGAGACTCAGCTGAATCTTTCGTTTATGATATTCTAAAACTGAATGTGCCGCACACAGGCCGCCTCATGTTTCAGTTGGCACGATATTCGAGATATCGCAGTATATTTCCATAAGGGAATCTACTAAAAACGCCGCTGATAACTATTCAGAGTTTTCAGCAACCTTGTGAGTAGTTTCCCTCATGAGAGTTCGAATTCTTTTCGCGGTGCTCACGGCTGGTGATAACCAACAAGGACAAAAGAAACTCTCGGCTTTTCAACATTTTACCTCACTTCAGTTTGAACATAAAATCTCAGAAAACGGCGAACTTTGTGGGTAAGAAGACAGCCTCCGCTTTCAAGATTTAAGAGGTAAACCTCCTAATAAGATGCTCCGATTCATGAAGGAATGTCACTATAGCAAGGTTTGATGAAAACTCTTCGACAGCCCAGGTAGGCGCAGTCCCCAAGTTGCCACTAATCTTGAACACAGATTGCACTGAAATTCGCGTAGTACACTCATTTGCACATCGATTTGATTTCAACACGAGACTCAACTGAATCTATCGTTTATGACATTCTTCAGGTAGATGCACTGCAGAACATCACAAACGAGAGATTCAGCTAGAACCCATTCGAGTCTCGTGTTAAAACCAACTTGGTGCAATTTGGGTGGGGTCCCTGCATAAATTTGACGGACTCTCAGGGAATGCGCCCAAATTGGATGGAAGGACTCACCTGAGTCCAAGCCGAACATCTCGTTTCGTTTATACGTATCTGATGACTCCCAAGAAGGGCGAAACCTTTCGTGGACTGCCGGAGAGTTTCCACCAAAAATGTCGGTAGTATTCCTCCATGATATCATCTGGAGGAGTACCTAATACAAATCGGACAATTGTGACATCTGAGTTCCGAACAGTGTTTGACAGTATAGCGAACCAATTCATCCCGAACGACTGAAGCTGTTCGAACTATCGACTGATTTCTCCAACTCACTAGCACTGGTCCGTCGATTCATGGAACCTGCCACCACCGCAACAAGAACGCCGCAGCGGGTGGTACTGGTTTGTTTCACCTAACCCTCCCCCCTCTACAAAGCGCTGTTCAGCCACTCGGTTTAGTGACCCAGCCACGGCACACACAGGTGTTTGTGCTACCGATAATACTCCACACCCTCGTAAATCGGTTCTGTTGGACCCCTCCCCCCACCCCAATGGATCATTTTGACACCCTTGAAAAGTGATTAGACAAGAACGAAGAAGTTGGCTATTGTTGGGGCAAGGTGTTCGGGGAACAGTCCAAAAGCTTGTCCGAAAAAATTCACCGCTTTATTGTAAGTTTAAATTCAGACGGAAAAGCAATCCGAAAATTCGCTTTTGACGAGCACATGAAATCACTGACAAATGTATGTTCAGAATTCTCGCCGGATGGTGTGAATGACTGACAGACCTTTGGGGCAGGGTAGTTAATCACAACGAATCATGAAAAACAGGGGTGGTTTTTGAACGATCAAATTACGGTCGGTGAGAAATTCTGTGCAGAAACCCTATCGGTTTTCATCAGACCGAACTGGGCTGTCCATATATGGATGTACAAAAATGTTTGCAGCAACAATCCTCCTCAATGCATCGAAAGTTTCCGTCGATCTGTCGCCACAGTCGATTTGATTTCTTAAACATTTCGAACCAGTCTACCAACTGACTGCCAACCGATGTCAGTGGCGTCCTCGTTGTCAGCTTTAATCCACATTGTTTGAATGAGTGTTTGGAGGTGTAGGCACCTCGGAATGATGGTAGCAAGTCCCTTCCCTCGTCCACCTTTGTACGGCAGCAGAGCATC